CCCCGGTGGTCAGCACATGTCATAGCAAGCGACCAAACTCCTGGTCAAACTCCCATGGGGACAATTTGCATATTAGGCACATATATATATATATATATATATATATATATATATTCTTTCTACAGCATAAATTCCTAACAATGGAATTGCTAGATCAAAGGATGCCTGCTAAAATTAATATATATTAATATATATATTAATATTATATATATAATATTAATATATATTATATTAATATATAATATATAATATATTATATATATATATATATGTAGAGAGAGAGAGAGAGAGAGAGAGAGATAGTTGTTTTTCTTTTTTAATTGATTTTAGAAAGAGGAAGAAAATCAACTTGTTGTTCCACTTATTTATGCATTCATTGGTTGATTCTTGTCTGTGCCCTCACTGGGGATCAAACCTACAACCTTGGTGTATCTGGACAATGCTCTAACCCACTGAGCCACCGGCCAGGGCTAAAAATTACTTTCGAAAAATAGTAGTGTCCAATCACTCTCCAAAGAGGCTGTGCCAGTTTACACTCCTGCCAACGGGAGTGTATGAGGTGCCTGCTCCCTCTGTTCTACGTGTGCGTGTGTATGTGTGTGTGCGAGTGTGTATGTGTGTGTGTGTGCGTGTGTGTGATTAGAGAATGGCAATTAGAGAATGTCTGTTCCATGCTAGTCTGTCACTGTCACAGCTGACATCTCCAAAACCCCCACCCCAGTCCCGAGGGCGAGCCACAGCTTCCTGTCACGTTTATCTCCCAGCTCACATCCATCCTCCCTCTGCTCACGCTGCCTCCGGGCGCCAGCTGAAGTCTTCACTCTCCATCCTCCACCGCTGTGCTCTCCCTGGAAGGTTTTCTGTCCCCGCCCCCCCCCCCCATTGATCTTCCCACGTGAAGCTGCGGAGACCGAGCAGCCCTCTCCCCGGGTCCCTCAGACACCACCGCCGGCGAGACAGGGCCGCTCGGTGGCGGGCCCACAGGTCTGCGGCCCGGCCGTCCTGCCGTCTGCAGGTCATTTCCCGCCCGCCCAGCCGCGATGGCTTCCTCCTGGGGCGTCTCCCGGCCCAGGCCACCCCCCTGACCCCCGGGCCTGTCCAGGCTCCTCTGCCGCACTCCTCACGCGTCTTCCACACCCGACCGCGCCCAGGCCGGGGCCTGCTCCTCGGCCTCGTGTTCTCCCTGACCGCCCGCTGGCAGGAGTCCGTCTGCTCGGTCTCCTCAGCAGGGCGAGGCCCGGTGCGCGGTGCCGGCACAGGACGTGCAGGACACGTGGCTGCCTTGAACTGGGGGCGGAGGCTGGTGCGGTCTCATCCCAGGTCGGGAGCCTGGTGACCCCCCGCTCTGGGCCCGTGGGATGCAAATCGGAGGGACGGCGTTTGCATGGCGGGCAGGAAGCCCAGGGCACCGAGGGCGACGCGGGCAGGAGCAGGGCGCCTGGGCCTCGGCTCCTCCGGGGCTCCGCGGCTCCAGCTCCCGGCAGCTGAGGGAGCCGCAGGTTCGCTCCCCAGCACTTTCCCACCAGGGACAGGGCAGGGGCGAGGGAAGGACAGGGGCGTGTCGTACCCGGGGCAGGTCCCCTCAGAGGCCGGGGGCGGGTCCCCCTCAGAGACCGGGGCCAAGTCCCCCTCAGAGACCGGGCCGGTCCCCCTCAGAGACCGGGGGGCGGGGCAGGTCCCCCTCAGAGGCCGGGGCCGGTCCCCCTCAGAGACCGGGGGCGGGTCCCCCTCAGAGACCGGGGGGCGGGTCCCCCTCAGAGACCGGGGGGTAGGTCAGGTCCCCCTCAGAGACCGGGCCGGTCCCCCTCAGAGACCGGGGGCCGGTCCCCCTCAGAGACCGGGGGGCCGGTCCCCCTCAGAGACCGGGGGGCGGGTCCCCCTCAGAGGCCGGGGGCGGGTCCCCCTCAGAGACCGGAGGGGGGCCGGTCCCCCTCAGAGACCGGGGCCGGGTCCCCCTCAGAGGCCGGGGGGCGGGGCAGGTCCCCCTCAGAGACCGGGGGGCGGGTCCCCCTCAGAGACCGGGCTCAGAGACCGGGTCCCTAGAGACCGGGCCGGTCCCCTCAGAGGCCCGGGGGACAGGTCAGGTCCCCCTCAGAGACCGGAGGGCAGGTCAGGTCCCCCTCAGAGACCGGGGGGCGGGTCCCCCTCAGAGACCGGGGGGTAGGTCAGGTCCCCCTCAGAGACCGGGGGGCCGGTCCCCCTCAGAGACCGGGGGGTAGTCAGGTCCCCCCTCAGAGACCGGGGGGCCCGGTCCCCCCTCAGAGACCGGGGGGTAGGTCAGGTCCCCCTCAGAGGCCGGGGGCGGGTCCCCCTCAGAGACTGGGGGCCGGTCCCCCTCAGAGACGGAGGGGGGCGGGTCCCCCCTCAGAGGCCGGGGGCCGGTCCCCCTCAGAGGCCGGGGGGCAGGTCCCCCTCAGAGACCGGGGCCGGTCCCCCTCAGAGGCCGGGGGGCGGGTCCCCCTCAGAGACCGGGGGCCGGTCCCCCTCAGAGGCCGGGGGGGGCGGGTCCCCCTCAGAGACCGGGGGCCGGTCCCCCTCAGAGACCGGGGCCGGTCCCCCTCAGAGGCCGGGGCCGGTCCCCCTCAGAGGCCGGGGCAGGCCAGCATCCGGGGCACCAGGCGGCTTGGGCCGATGCACAGGGGATGAGGGCGGTCGGAGGGGCAGCCCCAGCCTTTGGAGGGAGCGGCTCTCCCTTCTCCCCTGCGTGTGGGGCGGGGGGAGGGATGGCCATCTCCGGCCCTGCAGGGCTGGGGGACAGGGCGGAGGGCGGAGCGCCCTCTGGCGGCCGCCGCGGGAGCAGGGCGGGCGGAGCGCCCTCTGGCGGCCGCCGCGGGAGCAGGGCGGGCGGAGGGCGGAGCGCCCTCTGGCGGCCGCCGCGGGAGCAGGGCGGGCGGAGGCCTCCCTGCGCCTCGCTGCCCCGCTGCCCAGGAAGCGCGGCCGGGCCCGCGGGCGGGGCAGGAAGCGGCCGGGGGGGGGGGGCAGGGGAGGGGGCGAAGGGGCGCCCCTCCCCCCGGAGGCCCCGGCGCCCGCCGCCGGCACTGCCCGCCAAGCCGCGTCCGAAGTTCCTGTTCGGAGTTGGACTCGGCCTCCTCCCGCCCCGCCCCCAGGGCCTCCCGAGCTCCTCCCCCCGCTCCGGGGACCCACCCTCCGCCTCCCAGTGCCTCCGGCCGGAGCTTTCCGCGCCGAGGGGGGTATGGGGGCCCCCTCCGGGCGGCACTGGGTCTGCTCTGCGGGGCGCCCCCTCCTCCGTGCGGACCGGAGGGCCCAGGCCGAGGGGCAGGAAAACTAACGGCCGGCCCTCCTGCGGCCCGGAGGGCGGGGCAGCCTCCAGGACCCCCTCCGCCCTCCAGGGGGCGAGCTGGGGCGGAAGGAGGCTTCAGGGGACACAACCACCCCCTCCCCCCCCGCCCCCCAATAACCACCACCCCCGCCCCCCAATAACCACCCCCACTCCCCCACCCCCCAATAACCACCCCCACTTCTCCCCTCAATAACCACCCCGCACTCCCCCCCGCCCCCAATAACCACCCCCACTTCTCCCCCCAATAACCACCCCCACTTCTCCCCCCAATAACCACCCCCACCCCCCGCCCCCCAATAACCACAGAGGCAGCTCTGTCTGGCTTTCTCTTTAGTTCGCGGCACACTTGAGGGGCTCCAACAGAGAAGGCACTTAGAGGAGAGGTCATCAGTCAGACTGGCCCGGCCTCCCTCCCGCCCCGGCTGGGGGCAGGTGGGGGACAGGACATCTCCGTCTGACACCCCCTTGGCACTGATAGCGGGTCCCCCAACTGTGAGGCCCTGGGAACAGCCCGGGCCTTGACCCCCGGACGCAGCACTTGGGGGCGGGGTCCGGGTGGAGGAGGCAGAGCTGAAGGCGGATGTCCTGGGCGCAGCCCTCCGCGGCAGCGGAGGGGGCAGGGGGCTGCGGGGAGTGGGCTGGCATCGAGGAGGGGTGTAGTTTGGCAGGAATACACCCCAAACCCCACAAGGAGTGCCCCGCCTCCCGCAGATCCCCGAAAGGCACAGGTGAAGAGGGGGGTCGGGGGAGACCCCCCCCCCTCGCGCGCACACACTCGCTGGTCGGCGGGCACAGGCCTGGGCCCAGAGAAGGTGCTCAGTAAATGTCTTAAACGAAGCGAAGGGGTGTGTGGGGCAGAGGGCAGGGCCCTGGGCCCCTTGGCCTAGCTTGTTTCGTTCAGAAAAGAGCAATTTAAAAACGTAAAAATTCTCTTCCTCCCTCCCCCGATGGATGGGCCTGGGAAAGGGGGAGGAGGGGCCGTGTCCACCCCAGCCCTCCGCCCCCCTAAAAACCTATATACACATGTACATATTTATATGGCACCATAAGGGTCCTGCGTGTGCCCACACTTGGAGCTGTGACACGGGGAGCAGCCCGCGGCTGAGGAGCCCGGAGAAGGACGAACCCCGAGGCGGGGCGCTGGGTCTGCACCGGTCCCGCGGGAGGCGGGAGGATTTCCCCCTGACAGCGGCCTGGAGGCTGATCGGGCAGGAGCTGGCCCGGCCGGGCAGACCGGGCGGGAGAGGGCTCCCTGCAAGGCACTTGGTGTCCGGCTCCCGGGCTGGGCCACGGCGGGCACAGGGGCCCGCCCGACCGCCCTCCCCGGAGCAGAACCGAACGGGGCCCAGAGGCCCGGCGGCAGCAGAGAAACACGGCAGCACAGAGAGAAAGGGGAGCAGCATGCAGGCCCCGCGGGTCCCCCGAGAAGAGGGGCGTTCTAAGGCACTGACACAGGGGCCCGGGTCTCCCTGCCCGCTGTGGGCCCGCTGCCCCTTCCGGCCGGCCACTCCCCGGGCACGGAGGCGGCAGGAGGCGCCAGGCTGGCGGGGGATGCCCACTCCCCGGGCACAGAGGCGGCACGGAGGCGCCAGGCTGGCGGGGGCGCCCTCCCCCGGGCACGGAGGCGGCAGGAGGCGCCAGGCTGGCGGAGGCACCCTCCCCGGGCACGGAGGTGGCACGAGGTGGCCAGGCTGGCGGGGGATGCCCACTCCCCGGGCACGGAGGCGGCAGGAGGCGGCACCAGGCCCGCGCGGCTCCGGAGGCGGAGTCCGAGGGCGGCGGTGGGGCGGTCCTGCCCGGCGCCGCACTAGCTGCCGGGCCGCGGCTGCCTGAGCACTGAGTACACGTCCTCCACGCGGCTGAGCTGCTCGAAGAACGGCAGGAGGTCGTGCAGCTCCGTGTCGTTCATGTTGTCGAACCACGAGGCCACCGGCACCTGCAGAGGGCGCAGGTCACCCCACACGCAGTGGACCGAGCGTCGGCCTGAGAGCTGAAGGGTCCCGGGTCCATCCCGGTCCAGGGCATGTACCATGGCTGCGGGCACATCCCCAGTGGGGGGTGCGCAGGAGGCAGCTGACGGATATGTCTCTCTCCTCGACGTCTCTAGCTCTATCCCTCTCTCTTCCTCTCTGTGAAAAGTCAATACAACGTATATTTTTTAAAAATTGCGCCCGCTCCAGTGCCCAGAAGCGGAATGGTCAGAGCGATCAGTAACGTATGGGGCGGCGGGCACAGGCCTGCGAGAGGGAGGGTGGCGGGCACAGGCAGGGGACCACCGGCCCCTCCGCCCGGCCCCGCGGCCCGCCCGCCGCACTCACCGCGTTGTCCGGGTGGAAGACGTAGGAGGCGGGCGAGTTGTCCAGGATGAGCACCCGCCGCAGGTCGCGGCCCAGCCGGCTCAGGTCCTTGACGTAGTTCCCGCGGTGGAAGACGCACGACTCGCGGAACAGCCGCGCCCGGAAGGCCCCCCACTTGTCCAGCAGGTCAGCCACGGGGTCCGCGTACTGTGGGCGGAGGCGGGTCACCGGGGACGAGGAGGGGAGGGGGGGTCATCCCGGTGAGGGGGGAGGGGGGGTCATCCCGGTGAGGGGGGAGGGGGGGTCATCCCGGTGAGGGGGGGGGATCATCCCGGTGAGGAGGGGAGGGGGGTCATCCCGGGAGGAGGGGAGGGTCATCCCGGTGAGGGGGGAGGGGGG